TATATATATATATATATAAGTTCTACATTTATTTTATAGTGAGCCAAACAACTTGAAAGTATTTCAAGTACATTTTAATCATGGTACTTCGCAAATCTGTTACATTACATTTCATTTTTAGCAAACCAAACGACTCTTAAGCAGCTCGTGTTAGTATCGTTCACCGAGTAAACAAGTCGATCACGAACAAAATTTGTAAGCTTGAATTATAATTGAAGCGAACATAAAGTTTTTAAGCTTAAATTAAAAACGAATCGAACACGAACAACTCTTTGTTGAATCGTGTTCAGCTCATTTTAGCTCTACATAAGAAAATTATATATATTATTTATCTAATAATATATTTTTTATATATTTATATCCAAGTTTGAATCATCACAACTTGTGTAGTCACACGATTTTGTGTCTTTTATTACATAAAAATAGTGTAGGGTCGAGTCCATCACCTTACATTTTTTGCCTAGTTAATTAAAACAAACCAATTACTAGCCAAACACGATAACTCTCTTTAAGAATAATTTGGAACACGAGACAATTCAAACAGAACTTCGAACAAGCCGTCAAGCTTGGCTCATACATAGCCCTAATTACAGTAGCACTCTTCGGAGTATAGACTTAGGGAAATGAAATTAAAGCAGATAAATTAATGGTGAAATATATTTTTAACCAAATATTTTAAACTAGTTTATGAAAGAAGCTTAATTATTTACTTAAAAATTTCTCATAATTGAGTCATTTGTAACAACCTCTTTTAATTAGGCCATGAAAGGGAAACAACCCACTATGTTCAAAAAATTCCACTTTCTGTGTGGAAAGATGGCACCCATTCTTTTTAGCTCTATAAAGTATTATTGGACTCAAAGCTTAAGGTAAGTTCTTCTCTCCTATAACTCAATATATCTACCAGAAAGCTAACTTTACATCTATTTCTATGTACGTCCAGTTGTTGGATTCAAATAGAAATTACTGTCCATTGAAACTGTGCCACGTCCTGTGATTAACCTTTTAGATTACAAATTCAATTCACTTGGAGGATGCTTGGTTGAAAGATTATCAGGAGAATAATGCAAAATGAATGAAAATAACATGTGATTTCTTATTATACACAAAAAAAAAAAACATGTGATTTATTATTCTCTTAAGTATAAACAACACGTTTTTTTTTTCCTTTCTTTTTTTCTTGATCAAAATCATTCCTACACTCAACCATGCGTCATATCTGATACTCCGTCAACAAACTCTTTCAACAAACACAAATCTCGAGGTATGGTACAACTCTCGAGATAATATTTTGAACAAAAAATGTTCAACGTTTGATAAAAAAAAAGTTAATTAGAACTCTGATTTCAACAAACTTGTAGTCAAACCGACTGGCTTGACGAGACAGATCCAATGGTACTAAAATTGGTCCAATTGGAGTCAAATCAAGCTCAAAGCAAGTCATTAACCATATTTGGAAGCTTTTCAAGAATATTTGAAAGGTCAAATCAATGTTGGATCCGGCGAGTTCATAGTCAAATCAAGTGTTTCAATAAGTCAAATCCAACGAGCATAAAATCTCTCAATTCCAACATCATTAAAACACTCTTATGTCCATCAAATGTTGTAATCAAAGGAAGCTTCCGGACAGTCCTGTCAAAGTGATTCAAATTCCAGCATTTATAAATAGAGCTCCACCCCTCTCATGAGAAGGTGTGAGAGCTTAAGGCTTGGAAAAGGGCATAAAGCTTTGAGAAAGAACTGAAGTGCAGCATCACTCCTACCGTCATCAAA